CTCACAAACTTGAAAAAACAACAACTTCTAAATTTACTCAGACACAGGTAAGATAGCTTTGCTTATTATATGATGATTCATATTAGACGATTTTTGTACTTATTCTTTCTAATTACACAGGAATGACAACGAACAACTCATCGCTCTGCGAATTTTAAATGGCGTTTTGAAACTGCAGGGTGATTCTGAACTGGTCGATTATTTTCTGGAAACTTTAGTAGAAAGCTTTTATGACCATCCAAATATTGAATGCCGCGTATCCTTCCGTTCCTTGAAACATTTGTTCTTATTATTACACTGGTAGTCGATTCTTGACAATTTCCTTTTTCCCAGAAATCCTTTTACGCAATCTTGATTCAGTTATACAATAATATTCCCGAAGAATCATCAAAGGATAAGAAAGTTAAGCAAAAACTTAAATCCGGTTTATTACGAGGATTAGCAGATGTAAACGAAAGTATCCAGCAGACATTGACAGAATTCTGGCATGGGCACCAAGAATTATCACGCGATACTTTCACGCGATTAAAAGTTCTTGTCGGGTAATTTGCCTGTTTATTAAATTTTATGTTATTATATATATGAATATAATTTTTTTATTTTTCTTTAAAAAAAAAAAAACAACCTTACTTTACATTCAATAGAAGTCTATACAGTCCTGAGATTGAAACCCTCTTTTTACACTACGCGTGCTTTTTGTTGCTTGAGGGGTCAAAGAAAAGTGTCGACTATAGCAAGCCTATATTTGATCAACCATTGCCGAATTCTAAATTTGGTGGATATGATGATATCGATACCTCGTGGAGGATCAATAGCACTATGACTCCTCTTTTCGTGAACACACAGCAAAATAATACTAGAGTATGCCTTTCCTCTTATCCAGTATCATTATATTATTTCACTAATCATTCTTGAAATAGGCACACTTCAAACAAAAGAGTCATCAGGATGGTTTAATTCGTGCGACGAATGACAACTTCGAATTCTCGCTTACTATGGATCCCGGTATGAATTCCACTGTCGTTTTTTAAAAAGCAGGAATCGTCCTCTATCATCTCTACCTAAGTTCAATTTTTCACTTTAAGTAACCAACACAGTAAATAGCGAATTTGGTTCTCAATTGGGCGGTTGGTCATTGACCCAATCGAATCTACTTTTCTCACCTACAAATACTCGCAGTAAGCAAAAACGAGTGCACGATAATCACGAAGATAGGCCAAGGTAGTTGTGCCAATTTGTAAATTGCAATT